AAATCTAGATTATGAATTCAATACAGGACACTTAACTGAATTATAAGACATATTTGGAGCCCATACCAAGATTAGATGTAGTATTAAACCAATTAACAAATGCAAAAGTATTTTCTACATTAGATCTAGCTTCTATAGCACTTAAACCAATTCTGGTCTTCAAGAAATTAAATGAAGAACAGCTGTATGAAAGTTAGTTACACTTTCGAAATTCACTAATTACATGAAATTAATTTAGTTATAGAAATTAAACTATTGAAACTAAAATGTAAGATATTACTTAGATGAATTTAGAGCGTTTCGTTACATTTAGAAGGCATCAATCAGGTTAAAGTATAAACTGAAAAGTAACTCGAATGTTATCTTGTACCTGTACATTATTTAACTCAAAATACAAATTTAAAGCATTGAGAATAACTCTTTTTTTACTACATAAAATTACTTAGTTTTTATCTTACATTAATTAAATTGATTTCTTCTGTTAAACCTTTTCGTTTAAATACTTCTACTAAAGTACAAAATATTTATTTTATTCCTCGTTAAAAGATGGCACCGTTTGGTAGCGCCATCTGTTAGCAACATATAAACTTACACTAGGCTAAAACAACTTAAAATAAGTTGTGAAATGGCAAAATATTCGAAGTTATTAACATGAGGTTATTTTTATTTTCATGAGATGTCTTCTGTTACTTCTGTTTGATTTCTATTAATTAAACTTATATCAGTTATTCTAAATTTCGGCTATACAACAACGGCTTTATAAAAAGTAATGATATTCATTTCCTTGGTTTAAAAACACAGCTATGTTTTCAAATATGTTTCATATGGCGTTAAATATTATTTCTTCCTTAATTAAATATTTTTATATCGTAACAAAATTTTTAGCCAATTCGTCTTTATTTTCCAAAATTACTACTATGTCCATCGAAGTTTATTCCTGCTCAAACAAGCATATGGGCTTCAGCAAAACAGTATCTTTTTTTAACATGCTTCTATCTGTCTAGATCAGAAACTGTTGATTACCCCGTCTAGGCTGAATAATTCGTCCAAGATTCCAGGAAATGGGCTGGCTGCATGGTTGCCTTTCGTGGTTTCAAGTCATGTTTTATGTGAATATAACTCAAAACCGCCGCCTCGAAAGCATTCCTTATCTTTAGACAGGTAGCTTTTGTGCGCTTTGGCCATATTCAATACCGTAACTTAACCTCTTAGGGCGGAACACGTAATAAGCCAAAAAAAAAAAAAAAAAAAAAAAAAAAAACAAAAAAAAAAAAAAAAAAAAAAAAAAAAAAAAAAAAAAAAAAAAAAAAAAAAAAAAAAAAAAAAAAAAAAAAAAAAAAAAAAAAAAAACTTAAACTCTTCCCTTCGAACATTTCTGAAAAAGTATCTCCGCTAACTCAAATGGCGAGTGCTGCCATCTATTGACGGCCCAAGAATACAGGTTCAAAAGAACCACTCATTTTTACGTTATTTTCACACCGATGTGCATTAATGTTGATTTCGAACTGCTTTCTGTAGCTACTTTTCATGTTAGGCACCAAGCGTCCTCGTCCTCCGTAACCTGCAACCTGTAGCTACTTTTCATTATTTTGAGGAACATTTTTGCCCTCTAACATTTTTTTCGACTTTATTTGAAAAGCATCGTTTAACAAGGGTAGTCGCTTAATTAATACTAAATACGTTTGATCAGATTATTTCCTTTTTTTTTTTTTATATATAATAACTGGTTTAAGGAAAACATAATCTGCTTTCGTTTGACGTTTGCTGTCAGCGTTGAAAACAGTAAAATCTGAATAAAATTTAAAAAAACTAAGTCATAAATTTCAGAATGCACTTCAAAGAGTTTATCATTAAAATTTCATCTTATCTCGGTGCATAGATTTCATTTTAAAACCTGAAGCAGCTTTTAAGCGCTTATAATAGGCATATTAGTTAAAATATTCGTTCTCCAGAAATCAAAATTATAGAAAATAAAATTTAATCCTTCAGAAATGCTGTACTAAATAGTAAAGCCAAATGGGAAAAAAATTTAGAACAGTACTATTCACAACCTAACGCTATTTAGAAACAAGCGCATTTCTTCATAATGAAAATGTTTAGTTATTCAAAAATTCAAAACGTAGCAGTGCATTTATTTCCATAGATCGCTTGCGCATAAAGCTTATATCAGGTATTTCCCTCAAGTCGAAGTACTTTTTATTTTACAAGGACATGAAACATTTTACTGAAAAGAATAAATGTATCTTCTGGCTTTTAAAGAGGCTTAAACTCATTGTTTAAAATACTCCGCATCGATGCTTTCATTTATACTAGAAATTAATCCCTTATCTGTAAACGCAACTAAACTTATACAATCAATAATACACACATATAGCACATATAGATATATATAAGATATACGCGGTACAGTCAGACCCTCCTGGCCGAGGTTTGGCCTCATGGTGAGAAAAAAGGACTGACTCCGAAAGACATACATAGATATATATGTAGGTATTAATTTTAAATAAGTATTAAAATCTATTTATTCTGTTTTAAATAACTAAACACTCTTATTTGCAAGATTCTCATGCAGCGATGGGTAAGTTTTGTTAAAGCACTTAAAAGTCGTTTTGTAAATAATACACTTTTAATTTAATTTTACCTCTTATCATTGTTTCTTAAACTTCTACACTTTAAGTTAAATTTACTCTCCTAGTCTTAATTTATAATTATCTTTTTTTCTACTTCCTTGTATGAAGTAAAAAGGAAGTATTGTAATCGCGAAAAGCTTCAGGCAGCATATTTCAACGAAAATATCCATTTTGACCGCTATCCAATGCAATTTAACGATGTTTTTTGCTTGATATCTGTACGTGAGGACAGAATCAAAGTCTCTTTTCCTCCAAAAAAATTATAAAACTGCTTTAAAATTAATTCTGAAGAGAATTTTTCGCGGCGTGTGTATGAACATATGTACGTACGTACGTATCTCGCATAACTCAAAAACCAGTAGCCTCAGAACGTTCAAATTTTGTATATAGGGACTGCTATAACATGTAGATGTGCACCTCGTATTTTGGTTGCAATCGGCCGCACCAAACATATATAAATATATTTATATATATATATATATCCACTCTGTTACCCAGCTCAGTGATCTCAGTTTTTTTACTCTTATATGTTTGTAAATTATACATTTTTTGCTTTAAAAATGATTGAATTATGTTCTTCTTATCTTCCGGTTAAGGCTTTTATACCTTTAGTAAATCTGTATGCAATATTTTTAGAATTATCAACAATTTTCAAGTTGTTTAAGCGCCGCGAAGCCTAATAATTTTTTGATGGCAGCCATTGCTTGTTTATATTTGAAACAGCAAAATAGTGGATTTGTTGCCAATCTAAAGAAACTTAGCTTCGCAACAACAGAGATAACGCCTTCATTTATTATTGCGAATTAAATCAAGCTTAATCCTTTCTGGAATTTTTTTGAGGAAATAAGTGTTTAAGATTTACTTCGTAATTTTTAATACAGCTATTTTAAATTTTTATGTATTTTTGCCTTGTCGTGAAGTGAGAACTGAATTAATTGAATGAGAAATACTCAATCGTCTGTGAAAAACTGTTTCTTTTTCTTTTGTTTGCTTAATTTCTTTTATATATCGTTCTAGCTTTATTATAGTATTTGAATAGAACATGTGGCAACGATTAGATAATTTTTGAAATGATATAAATTTACATGCATTCTGAGTTATAATATGAACTAAAATGCTTTTCATCCTCACAAATAGATAGCGCCACACGACGCCTCTTTTGTTCAAAGTTTATTTTTTCTACGGATGGCGGCACAGGAGCCTCCTTCGCTAGTAATCTCTGAGTTCTAGCACAGCATGTGCACAAGTACTTCCATATTATTGGATACAACTTACTCGATTCCTCAAGCATTTAAAAGTCAAGTATAATATATTGGTAAAGGCCGTTAGTGGTCGATTGCCTCTTACTAAGTGATAAGACATAGATATAGACAGAGTTATAATATGAACGGAATATAATACTGTTAAGTGAACCTAGCGCCAGAGTGTCGCTATGGTAAACAAATACTAGAGTGAATTTTAAAGAATGCATTTATTCTATTGTGGTTTATGCGCTGTCGGCGAAGTAGATTTAATTCAATCCAATAAGTTTAAATGAAATGCGAGAAAAAATGCGTATAATTTAATATTCAGTACGAGGAAGTCATGTGGTGTACACATCAGATTTTTTCTTTTTAAAAGCCCAAAAGTGTGGTAAACGGCGTTTTGTGGCGTTTTACTTTAAACAGCAAATCCCTTTTTAAATTGTCGCCACCAAATATTATCGCCCTGTATTATAGTTAAAGAAATAATAATAATGAAAATAAATAAAGAAATAATGAAAAATCTGCATGAAATATGTGAATGTTTCTCGCATTATTAAAAAACGACGGTACTTAGAGCCATTAAATTTTGAATAACGTAATTCTCCACTCAGGCATGGTCACCTGGATGCCCGAATTTTGAATTTCGAATTTGTTTTATTATTTATTTCTTATTTTGTAAAACTTTCAAAATTACCTGTTAATACTAAATTAAGCAGCGAAACACAGAAGCGGCCATCTGAATGCTAGGCTTAATTAAGCATGCAATTTAAAGCATAACAAAACAGTCAGTGTGAATAAAATAATATTGCGCTTTATTGGGTATTTTTATGAATTATCTCTCTCAATTTTATCATTGTTAGAAGAAACTGAAGGTAGACGAATGTGCAAATATCTTTTTATGTTATTATCATTCGAGAAAACATTTATTGCAGTCTACTCGGAAAGGGAAAATACCTTTTCTAGCCTTGGATACAGAGCAATTACGACATAATCAATCAAACAATAAACCGATAGCTGATTGGTTAGAAACACAGGAGGGAGCAGGCATTTTCAGTCGCGCTTTCGCATTGTAGATAACGCCGATTACCTAAATAATAGGTTTCGAAGCAGAAAACAAATAAATTGCCACTTCTAACGTTTGTGATATCTTGATTCAAAGTGTTATTAAATAATACAATTTCTCTCAGTTTAAGTGATGGCAGACGTTTTTAATTCTTCTTGGGCACTATTCTCTAAAAATATTTGGTCTTCGGAACCGGAGATGAATGACGATTTTGTGAGTGACGACTTGACAGTATTAAAATTGTACAGGAAAGAAGCTTATGCCATAGCAGAAAAGTACGACATTGAAATATGTGATATCATGCAAGCGATTGTTTGTATGAAGCAAGCTATAGCCCAGGGGCACAAAAACAAATTTCGAAACTTTGCCGGGATAGATTTTAACAAACCAGTAAATCGTTCTGCATATTTAATACGATATGCAGCGTGTCACACCGGTTTAGTAAAACAAGCTATGTGGAGAATATTTCATCGGAAACCTTCGATATTTTTAGATATACTGCTGAGTAGAGTATATCTTAATGTTGTTAGTCTAGGTGGTGGACCTGGAAGTGATATTATCGGATTCTGTAGCGCTTTGCAAGAGTTCAGCAACTGCATCAACTTTCTTCATTTGACGGTAGTAGATATTAAAGCTGGATGGGTTGGTGTTTTACAATCTATCATCGACAAAGTGATATGCTGTGAATTTAAAAATTTCAGTTTCAGCCAGATGTTAAAAGATGTCAGTGTTTGTACCCGATATGTGGTAGCCGATCTCACCAATGAAACGTTTTCAGAGAATGAAGACTTAATGGATGCGTTAGGTGTTGCGGACGTTGTGTTAATGGTAAAATTGACGTCCTTTCTTCCTCCTGAAGAAAAACTTCAATTAATTCTGGTAAGTAAAATAAATTATAATTCACTTCTTACAAGCCTCTTGCAAAATAAGCCGGTGGATGGGTTCAAGGAACACAGTTCGCAAGACGCGCTTTCGATTCTACCAACGGATTGCCTGAAAGGGGATCTGCCAGTGACTGAGTGATTAACCCTTTTAGTGCTGAGCGACGACATATTGTCATTCGCAACACTCGAAAGATGTGCCAACGACGATATATCGTTACGTAGCCGTGGTACTTCGCACTGCGAGAATATGGTATTATTCGCACTGCGAGAGAACTCTGTCTTAAAATGAATTTATAAAATGTTATAAATAGTCTGATTTCATTGCGAAGGAATTTTGAAAATTGGTTTTGGGTTTTCATAATGATTTATATTGATGTTACCCGTATGCTTTTCAACAGATATTGAAATGCAATCGGCATTACTTTGTTCTATCTTTATTTCGTAATATTCTGCTTTTTGAATTTTGTAAATCTCATTCTTAGTTTGGTTTTTATGAGCTTTTTTAAAAACCTTAACAAATTTGTCAAATTGGATCGGTATTATTCGCATAAGTACGATACCCTCGCTCAGCAGTAAAAGGTTTAAGACTAGGAGTTCGACTCGGGCTTTATCCCAGGCTAACGAGCTAGTTGCATAGTTGGTTTTGCGGTTTTCCGAATGTGTAAATGTGTTTCATTGGAAATTCCTCGACGAAGGTATCGCTCCATTTAGGCAAATAGTTTTCATATGTTTTGCCGTATTCTAATAACATAACATAACCTAGCCTGCATGGGTTTATGTGCTTTGCGGTACACAGGAGCCAGTTTTCCTTAGAAATTTCTACACGAAGGTATTCCAGGGAACTTAGGTACACGTAAGTTAACGCGTGCTTTGCTTTAACACATTAAACAATAAGCAAACAAAAAAATTCGCATGCACTTACACACGTTTTACACATGTCACACACTTAATTTAAGTTACGAGATAGATATAAGATTTGTTACGTAATAATTCTAATAAAAATATGCCAAACGTATAATTTTGCACTCGTTTGTAGAGAAAGGTGATGAGGAATGGCAGTAGGATTTTTGTTTTCCTTTTGCCATATTAGTCAATCAAAGGAAATATTTTTGCAATCAATACTACTAACTGTATCAGTAACTAGAAAAGCGAGGGATAATAATATAAGAATACTGCAAAATTTTTAGAATGCAAATTTATTAAACATAACTTTCTATTTTTTTTTTTTTTCTTTTAGTGTCATTTTTGAATAAAAGATATGTCTTCTTCCTATAGAAAATAGATATGTCCTTTTTCAAAAAAAGATGTGTCTTCATCCTTCTTCTCCTTTTTTAAGAGAAGGAACAATTTCTTAGTTGGAACTTTTATTATAAAGTCGGCATAAAAATTTAAATAGTGACAGTTCCAACCAAGTTACAGATTTATTTTTACTAAAATCTGTAATGTGGTCAAAATTGTCGTTGTCTGAGAGCCTATTTTGTTCAATTCATTTCACTAACTAGGAACAAAAGTTTTTGACTGAACCAAGAATTATTTAAACATATAATCTTGTTTAAACATCCTGTGTATGTACAAGTTTCAGATGCCTACACATTTATCTATGCAAATTTAAATGAAGGAGAAAATGCCGCATATTCAGCAAAAAAATTTAAATGATAGTAGGTGAAACATTTTTATATGCGATTAAATGTGTCTGAATTTAGAACGCAAAATACATAATTCTGTAACAGGTAATCTTGAATGACATGTGTAATGAAAATTTCTATTCGTTTTTAAGTGTTCTCCAAACTTTGGAAAATTGATACTTAAATTTTATAAATTTCAATAACGCAGATTAAATGCGAAATTAAAGAGAAGACTAAAAATTTGAACAATACTTCCTTCCTTTTCCGTCGGCAGAACCGTAACTAGGGTTTTCAGCACACGGGGAAAACTGAATATTTTTCGCCCCCCTTCTGTTTGCCGAGAATAGAAAATTTTTCATTCTAAAATGTTTAACATCGAGTTTGGCGTTCCCTGGATGCTGCGCCCAGGCACATCATCACTTTGGCGTCACCATCGAGATAGATAAGGCCTGCGCTCTGAAACGAAACTGGCTTGTGACGTCACGGTTAAGGGACCCTCAGCAAACTTTTTGTTGGCTTTTATAAGTTGTAATTTTTTATTCATTATGTTTTAAGAATTGAATTTATGTTTACTTTTGACATCTGAAGCATCATCCCTTGTAATAATTACTAACACTAGTAATATAAAAATTGTCAGCAAAATTTATGATTATTTATTTTAATTGGAAACTAATTTTACATGAAATAACTGTCCTAAGGGGTTTGGTTAAAAGCATTACACTTATTTCATTACATAATATGTAGAATATCAAATGCAGAGTAAATTTGATTCTTGGCAGAGTAGTACTGTGTTCTTAAATTTAAATATCAATGTTTTTTGCAAATCATTAAATATCATTTTATCATGATGAAACTTAAATGCATATGTTTAGCTAATATAGCTTCTGTTCACTTTTATATATGTTATTATCATGCAATCAGTTTATTTAAAATTTGTTATGCAATATAAATCTTTCTGAGAATGATAGAAAAGTTTCTAAAGTAATGTATGTAAGATTCATATTAAGGTAATTAAATTTCGAAACTGCAAAATGAAATTTTAAAAATGTACAGTTATTGAAGAAGCAGTAGTAATTGAATTCATATGTACACATACTTGTTTTCATTGTATTTCAATTCAATGAAATTTTAAAAACAATTTTTTTAATTATCTTTTAAATTACAGTCTTTTAATTTGAGTACGTGGCACACCAAAAGCTATGTAAGTTAAGTTTTAAAAAATTGCTTACTTATACAGAAAAGTTTTGAACATGATGTTAGGATTTATATTTTCTTTTCATGTGGATATTAATAGAAAAAATATTTTCAGAACAGAGGTAACGCTTATAGTTAAATAGGTATGATGTAAATATTTGCAAGAAATTTCAGTTTCTAAAAGTTTTTTAAGTATTTCGTATATTTTTAAAATATTTTCAAAAAAATTGTGTATAACTTTATATAAAAAACTTTTTTCCTGTCTTATTTGGAATTTTAATATTGATAGTCTTCAGAGCTATGTAATAAACATTATCTCAATTTAACTATAGATTCTGTCGAATAATTATGTAGCATTAAGAGGAAAACATTAACTGTAATACAGATTAACATACAATATGTAAGTAAGAAATAATTTTAAGACTAGACTATTTAGTAATTTATTACATTCAGAAAAATTTTCTGACTGATATAGGGCATTTAAATGTTATAGTCTAAATATTAAGTAGTCTCTTGCATTCGTTTGATGTTTTATAATCCTGCTACATTAATATGATAGATATAAAAAATATGCAATAATTATAGAATGAGAGAAAAAAACATGTGTTCCCACTGGCAAACATTTTGTTGTTAAAGTAGTGGGTAAAACAAAAAAATTTGATGCGGTGATGAGAATCAACGAGAGAGACACAAAGACAGTGCAGAAAAATCAAAGTAAAAATTTTAGCTACTTGAATTTTAAACCAATTTTTTCTCAAAGAAATGATTTGCTTTTAAAAGCACCACACCATTCTCAAATAATTTTGTTTTTTGAAAATAAATACCAACAAAAGAAAATGAAAATATTTCATATTCGTATAAGCTTTGTAAAACATTATATTGCCGCTTGTAATTTTGTTTTAGACTGATTTTATAGTATGAGATACCAGTTTCATTGTTTAGCAAGGAAGCTAAACTGCGCGAAGACCTAGCAGTGACGTAGTAACTCAGCGCGCAGGCCTTATCTATCTCGATGGTGACAACTTTGGGCGCCATCGTCAGCCTGCCGGATTTGCCACGCACAGAACTTAAATATCAAACTTCAGCAACTTACAATTTAAGCTTCAGCTTAGTAGCGCCATCTAGCGATAGTATTTAGAAATAGGAACTGTGAAATAATAAGTGTAGAGTAACGCGAATGGTTGCTATATCAACACTTTTAAGACTGCATGCAGTTGTAAGTTAATATTTTCACTTTTTACTAATATTATATAGACGTTCTGGAGTATCTTTATTGCATTAAAACCGTAAATAAATCAAAATAATTTACTGATTTGCCGAATCAGAGCTTAAATTTGTCCGGAAACTGCAGGAGCACGGCTCAAGGCTTTAAGTAATTTCTTACTTCCAGTCTAACATTTTAAGCTATTATTTAGCTACTTCGTGTTGATTCCGTTTAATTTATTAGTTTTTATTTAATTTATTATTTATTATTTCATTTGTTTCCCCGTGACAGCTTTTTCGTAAATGACGTCCCTCTATTTATGGCTTGCGTATTAAACGGTTGCATTTTTTTTTTCTAGATATATTACAGGTATACAAAAAAACATGATAATTAACAGGCCTTAACAACATATCTTACGGAAAAAAATTAAGTAATTGTACTGAAATAAATATTTACTTTCAGCGTGAAAGGTGACTGATAAGTTAGATCAATATACTGTTACGTTATTTCTCTTCTTTAAGTTACGTTAAGGGTTTGTGGGGTCGGCGTGAATAACGACGACACTTGATGAAGTAACAAAACACACTTATTGGCCAGTATTATTCAAGACAGCTCCCAAATCACGTTTACAGTTGTCGAAGGACTACTATAAACACGCTGAAACAATCAGCGACACAGCCTTCAGACTATCAGGCTATAACAGGGGAAACAGCTTCACGACAAAGCACCAGAGTACAGCTCCCAACTCTGCTCGGTCGTTCTCGGAACTCCTCGTACTCTCGAGACTCTCCCACGCTACAACTCGCAATGGACTCCACGATACACTAGAGTACAGCTCCCGACTGCTCTCAGTTCAGTCGATCCCGAAGCTCGGCATACGCTAAGATCAAACTCGACGATGCATTAACTCGCAATACACTAAGAGACTCTCTCGGTGCACTCAAAGACCAACTCGAGATTAAACTGACTATC